GCCTCTCATTGTACAAAGCCTCACATTCTCTCCATGACCCCTTCAATCCTGGAGTCTTCACTGCCACTGAGGTTGTACCTTCATCAGTGGCCTTTCTTGATCTTACACAGTGCCAAGCTTCAGTTGCTTTCAATGACCCCTTCATGGCTTCAAAACCAGTACCATGTTGGTGACTCTTAAACATTTCCAAGCCCCTCTTCCAGTTTCAGATGGAGACTCGGGCCCCCTCTGGACCACAGCTTCTGTGTGCTGAGACTGAGGAAATACTTCCAGATTTACCTCAAGGGTATTGGTCTCTTGTTCCTGGCCGCTGATTTTGAGTCCCAGATAACCAACGTCAATTGTCCCAGTAAACAACAAAAGTTTTCACATCCAAAAATTATTAATTTGACACCAAGAACCCTGATAGAATCTTTGCTTCCTTTTCAAGTTTCACAAGGCAGGACTCCATCATCTACACTGTTTTCAGTATTACCTTCCAGATTCCCATAGAATTGGTCACTGAAGCCAAGCAATTTCCTACTCCAAAGCTTCCAAAACTTCCACAGTCCTCCCAAACATATATGGTCAGTTCTTCCATAGCAATGCACCATTTCTGGTATCAATTTCTGTTCAAATTAGCATCACTATTGCTGTGATAAAAACACTGACAAAAACCAACCTGGGGAGGAAAAGGTTTATTTAACTTATAAGCATCATTAAGGGATGCCAAGGCAGGAACTCAGGGGAGGAACCTCAAGCACAGACCATGGAAGAATTCTACTTACTTCTTTCTCCCCTCTCCTGTGCTCAGCCTGCTTTCTTATATAAGACAAGTCCACCACCTGCCGAGGGGTGGCACCTCCCTCAGTGGTCTGGGCCCTCAAACATCACTAACAATCAACAAAACGTCCTAGAGACATGACCATAGGAAAATCAAATGGAGAGAATTCTCTAATTGAGGTTCCCACTAACCAGGTGTGTCAAGTTGACAACTAGAGCTGTCCAGCACAATAGTGATGCAATGTCTGGATCAAATAGTACTATCTGTTTAGATTATAACCCCATTTTTCATGAGGTCTATATGAGTCAGATTTGGAAATGGGTTCCCCACCTTCTACCAACATACTCCCGGCTAGAAATGAGGACAATGGCTAGTCCTGGTTTAAATGTGTTCTTGGAAATGAACTTGCAGGAAGTAAATGTTGGTGCCTACAGATCAGACTTCCTTTCCCTCACTTTCATTAAACCTGTGTTTGAATCTGATTGACCAAAACCAATTTTATGCAGGTAGCCTGGATGAGATTTCACTAGAAGAATTTAAACATAGAAACTAACCTATTCTAGGATAATTTTTCTACTCCTGATGTTATTTTCTCCTATGTGCCCATAGTGCTAGCAAGTGTCAATAAGGGTTATAAATATTGACTTGGGAAACTGAGTTATTGTCAGGCTCTTCATCTCTTGCTATGGAGTGCTATGGAGGCTGATTAGACTCCAGTGGGTGAATTTGCACTGAACGACATTTGGGTATAAAAGCTTGACTGGATAGGACTTAACACGTATGGTGGAATGCATGAGATCTAGCTGTTTGGGTGGTTCGGGCTTAGATGGCAGAGGGGGTCTAAATATGATGAAAAACTATTGTATGAAATGTACAAAATCTCCATTAAAAATATGAAAAAAATCACATAGGAAACAAAACAAAACAGAAAAGTAAAATTGCTATACTATGTTAATTTCCATGATTATTAGGCAATAAGTGTATATGTGCAAAAACGTCACACTATGCTAAAATATAGAATGAGGCTTTAAAAATAAAAATCCAAAACTAAGATTCCATATGCATGTCTCAACCTATTTTTATCTTTGAAAATATTTTTATTAATCCTTTGATAATTTCATACAGTGTATTCTGAGGGGTTACTTTTTTCTTTTTTTTTTTCTTCTCTCATTTATTTTTATGGCACATTTGGATATTCTAACAGTCACCTCTCTGAAGAGGTAACCCTAAAATCTTTTTAAACTTAAAGTTGAATATAGTCCTGAAGTTTAGTTTTCCCAAAATCCTGACATTAAAGAGTCCTTTGTTTAGAAAAAGATGAGATTAAAATTTCCCATTAGACTTTCAGAAATATATGATTTAGCTAGAAGCAGTTGACTAAGGATGGTGAGAGACCAGCACACCCAGGAAAATGTTAGGCACACAGTTTCCTGAGTGTCACCTGAGACTTGAGTCATTATTGGCCCAATTTAGGCCTGGGTCTGTAGATTGTAACTACCTGTTGTGAGTGTGGGCCTGGGCTCTAGTGTTGCATAGGGTGAGGCCTGCGTCTCAAAAATGTAATCGCTTTTGCCTACTGTGAACCTGGGTCTCTAATTTGTAATCACCTTTGCTGAGTTTGGAACTATGTCTCAATACTGTAATCACCTTTTTTGAGGGTAGGGCCTGAGTCCCTAGGTTCTAATCAGCGTTGCCTAGTGTGGGGCCTGAGTCTCAAGACTGTAATGACCTTTTCCCAGTGGGGAGCTTGGGTCTCTGGGTTGGAAGGAGCTCCAGGAGATGCTGAGGTCTGCCAATTCTGAGAACCACTGAGCTGGGGACATTAAAATCCCAAGCTCACCAAGTCTTTTTCCTGTTGCATGGAAATTTCTCAGGTTCTGAATCCCAAATGACAAAGGAGCCAAGAACAAACCACATCTGTCATTCAGTTCAGGCTTCACATTAAAAGTTCCACATCCCCAAACCATCCAAAATCAAGCTGTTTTCAGCTGCATGGTTTAAAAGTTGGATATTTTATGAGAGAAACGTTAGAGGTTTCTGATCAGTTTGGATAGAAGTCCTTACACCAAGATATCCTGCGGTGAGTTTCCAATTGTTGATGACTAAAGTAGGATGTTTTTGAAATCCTAAAAGTACCTAAAGTTGTTTAAATTGATGTTGAAACAAGAGTAAAATTCTATTACAGAAGTAAGCTCACTTTGCTGAAAATTAGTAGATTAAAAAAGAGATTAAGTTCATATATGTAATACATCTGTAAAAAGCTTTCAAGACTCTCTGATATTTGTAAGAAAGAGAAAGTCTTTGGTGATATATGTTCAATGAAGCTCATTTTCCCCCCAAGGCTTTAATGCTTTTTATTAATATTTATACTTTCTATATGTAAGCAAATGAAGTCAATAATTAGACTTCAATGTGTCTCAGTTGTTATGAAAGCCATTGAAACTTATTTTTCCTATAAAATGTGCATGGAAATATTTAAGTCCACAAAAATGAAACACCTTGTTTGGATTAAACGAAGCTGTGTTTAAGACAAGGGTTTACTGTGCAGCCCTGGCTGCCCTGGAATTCACAGAGATGTGCCTGATTTATATATCAGTCTGTTGTGAAGTCCTTATGCAATTTGATAGAAAATAAAATTAATTGTAGACAATAATGCTGCTTATAATTTTGCCAGTTACAAACAGAACCTGACATTATAAAAACTGTTAGAGGGAAAATTCTGATGTTTAATTTTCTTCACTTTCTATTATACAACTCCCTCAATCTGGTGATAGACTAAACTTACTACGCCCATTGATGTATTAAGAGGTTAATGTCTTTCCAAAGTGGTAACTAAAGTGCATTTAAAACTTTTTTCTTATTTAAGAATAGTTTTTACAATCTGAAGCCAGACCTCTGTCATTAGAAATGCAGAAATGGAATGCTCAGATGTGGAACTCATTCTTTCAAAAACAGATTTGAGAGCTGAGGTGATCATGTGAGTCTGTAGTGTCACA